CCCTATAGCAATTTCATTCTGTAATTCATTTATATCTGGTCTGTAATAATAATTCCTATAAAAATAGATATTGGGGTTATTAGTAAAACCGGGAAGGAATTTTTATATATAACTTTGTGGGGGATCGGGTAGACACCATGTCTATAGGACTATTGTGATGATATTTATTTGCATTAGAAACCATGTTCGTAGGGTTTATCTCATTATGTTGAATTCTCATCCTAGAAATCCTGCTTCTAGGCCGTTTACCCATTCTGCAATGATCATGTTTTCAAAACCTCTATGTGTGCATTAGAAATCATGTTTCTGGGATATTTTGTTGCACTCACTTGGCAATTAATTGACACCTTTATTCGCCTAGATATCATGACTATAGAAAAATATATATAAAATCAGTTTCATCGCTTAACCGTCATGCCTATAAGGAATTAGTATAAAAATAGTTCCAACACTTAGATATCATGCTCATAGAGATAAACCTGTAAAATCAGTTCTGTAATGCTTGTGATCATTTTCAGCACGTAGACAACATGCCTATAGGGTCTAAACGGATAAAATCTGCCTGTTTAAACTAGTCACTGTTTATAATACGTCTAGATATCATACCTATAGGATCCTGTCGGTTATCGCCTAGGCAAGCCTGCAGGATAATTAAAACCCTGAAGTTGCCAAAAACTATGTTTGTTTGACTGCTTATAAACTGCCCTGGTTCAGGAAGTAATAAAATCAGTAGGCAAACTGATTAGGTATTTACTGCCTCGCCTCAATAAAACTGCTGCATATCTTGTGCTCATCTAGATATCCTGCTATAGGACTTTAAACCGTTTAAAACTTTTTGTTTGAGGCGTGCAATTGTTTGCTTATTTGTGGAGGTAAATGTGAGCCCCCTTAACTGCTCCTTGTGTGATAGTCCTACATGTTTTGTTTGATGCCTAGTTTTCTCCTTTTAAGCACCATAGGTAAGTATCGAACCACCTTAACTAGAGGTCCTAAGCACCTCCAGGGCCCTAGGCAAGGGACGGGTAACGCACGCATAGGGTACGTATTCAGTGTTATTAGAACGCTTTATAATAATTAAGGGGGGGGGGGGGGGGATAATTGGGTAGTAAAGGATATGATGACATGTGCGCTAATGCTACGCGTAACACCTCTATTTGAGAAAAGTTTACCGAGTATTGCACAGAAGTGATCCTATAGGCTAATAAACCTAGGACCCCCTTTATTCCCGTTTAAATAATCTCTATTTGTTTAAATTGCTTATGACTAATTCACTTAATTCGAGTTTGGCCGGGACCCACCGTTGTGGACCTCGAGGGGTGCCTAACACCTTCCCCTCAAGGTAATTTCGAGCCCTTACCCAATCTCTGGTACCGCAAACTGGTTTCATGAGTTAATTGTTCTAGGTGCCATAACGCACCTTAGTCCGTTAGGTGGCGACTCTTCAAATTTCATACCCAATTCCCAAAAGGAAAAGGAAAAATGTCTAAACCCGGACTCCGCGAGGAAAAAGGGGGCGCGACAGCTGCTGTTTTTTCTGTGTTCATCTGAGATTCAAGCTGTCTTCCTATCTTCTGTTGCTGACCTGTTGTGAGCTCATTTAGTAGCTGATTTTCTTGGTCTTTATTTAGCAAAGGTTCAGCTTCATTACAAGCTTAGGTACACATTTATTACTTGTATTTTGTTTTGATATGAACTATCTGCTGCAGTTTTTAAGCTTACTGTTTGTTGGGTTTTTTTTTTTTTTTTTAGCATAACTTGAATGTTTAGTTTTTATATAGCAATTACATGAAGTTTGGTTATAGCTGGAATATGTTTTAGCAGTGATTTATGATTAGAATGTTTTGCATTTCACCTATTTCTACTATAATTCAACATGTGTATTGTACATATAATCAGATGCTACCTAATTTGAGTAATAATTACTGAAGTTTGAGTCTGTTTTTTCATAGTTTCTGATAAATTAAAGTATGTTATAATAGCGATCACAGTGAAATTTAACCACAACTGTTAAATTTAAAGTCTGATAGATTTTCGTTCACAGCGTGTCAATACTGCAGTCAGTTATAATAGCGATCACAGTGAAATTTAACCACAACTGTATTCTTTAATGTGGGTGAATGTTGTAATTTTGGGCATACAACTATAATTAACAGTGTGGTTGCTTAGGTGATTGTTCAGAAGTTCATTTGTTCAATTGTTATGCATTTCATTTAGCTATAATACTGCCATATGCCTATATGCTCTTACTTTGACACATTAAGATTGATCAAATGAGACAGACTTCAGCAGACTTGTAATACATTTATCGCGAATCTCATATAGGATTTTTCTTTAAAGTTATCATTAGATATGCTAGCTCTGAGTAATGTGTGTGCAGCTTATTGTGAGGATCTGAATTTTCAGTCTCTTGACTTTACTGGAGTTTCATGTTACTGGGCTCATTTTGTAGCCCAGATTCGTACTAAAAAATGCAGTATCTGATTTCAGTTTGTTAAACGTGACTGGGCTACCCAATGTATCTCAAATTGTTGTATTTAAATTCAGCGTGTCAATAATGCAGTTAGGAATTTAGATTTTCGTTCACAGCATCTCGAATTTGCCAAGTTTATGTCAATTGGCCACTCCTGTTCGCATTTGTCTTATTTGATGCAATCTTAATTCATTTTGATTTCCGTCAAAGTAATTAAGAATTGACTAAGCTAGCGTTTGGCCATAGATTCCAAATTTATTTTGAAAAATCTGATTTGGGTGAAGTTTGGTTTGAAGATGAAAATGTGTTTGGATATACGTTTTCAAAATATATTTTCCAACTTTATTTTGGAAAAACATGTATATAATTCTCAAGTTTTGGGATTTTGGCCCAAATTCAGCTCAATAGCTGATTTTGGGATTTGAGATTTGAGATTTGGGATTTGGCCAAAATATGAGCAAAATTTATGGCTAAACATAAGTTTTGAAAATAAATTTCAAATTTATTTTGGCAAAACTCATGCCAAACGGGGCCTAAAAGCCGAAATGGACAGGTTCAAAAAGACCCTATACTGGGTCACGTTAATAATTTGTTATCTAGGTTTGTGACAGGAAGGATTCATTCCATTATAGATTCAAAAGAACAAGATGCTATCTTTCCAACATTACTTTTCCATACATTTTGGATCTTTCCATATATAATCTCAAATTTTAGGATGGATTAATTAAACCATAAACATCGTAGGTTGCTTTAGGCGCGTAATTAAATCATCACGGCTATGGGTATGGTTCCAGTGGCATAGTCGTGATATATAATCCCCAATTCGGGTGCGCATTTCATGTGACCTGACCATAACTTCGAACAATAATAAATAAATAAAAATGTTGTAGATCGTGGGTACGTTCCCGTGACGCGATTCGCAATATGTACAAAAACAAACAAGTGCGCGACATCGCGACTTGTTCAAACAAACTACATAAATAAATAAAAGCGGTTATAAAGTTAAAAATGCACAATAGATTCTAAAACATGTAAAAAATCAGATAATTAGGCCAATTATTAATAGTTGAGCGACCGTGCTAAAACCACGGAACTCGGGAGTGCCTAACACCTTCTCACGGTCACGGGTTAACAGAATTTCTTACCCGGTCTTCTGATTTTCGCAGACTTTAAACGGAGTCAAATTTCCTCGATTTGGGATTTAAAATAAACCGGTGACTTGGGACACCGTATAATTATTCCAAGTGGCGACTCTGAATCAATAAATAATCTCATTTCGAATAATGTTACTTAAATTGAAAAAATTCCCGATTTCAAAGGAGGTGTGAATGCAGGAACATCAACCTATGATCAATAATCTACCTCCTACTTGGTCGATTAAGGTAATTTCCTTAATATCAAACTTACTAGAAGAAAAAAAAGGAAAAATAATTAGTTAAAGACTTACAAGGAGTGCAGAATACCAAAGTTTCTCATAAAGCTTGTCTAAATGATAAATTATTTATAATATTTCAAAAGTGTCCTTTAGTTGGTTATTAAATATTAAGTTCCTCTTAAGCACAAACCTCTCATCCAATCATCTTAGTACTCCCCAGTTGGCATGGAAATCTGAATTTACTTTATTGTTAACTGTTTTTTTTCTTAAAATTACTTTTTATTGCTTTTGACCCTTTTTGATTTTCCTTTCTAAAAAGCCAATATATTGGTTCCTTATAACTACTGTTCATTGATTCTTAATTGATTATTTTTCTTACAAAATAATGCTGACGTTATAATATATAATCTATTTTAATTTGTAAAATTAAATAATTTATGGAAAAATATTATTTTTCCAAAGCTTAACTTAATTCAGAACTTAAACCGAGAAAAAAAAAGAAGGGCCATTAGAGAAATCCGATAATTAACATGCCACATGTGAAGCAATTCAAAAGCATGCACATCGATTAACATAATAGATAATAATTATGTTACAATTGAATAGAATGTTACAAAAAAATTTATCTTTAAATGTTATAATCTCTTTTTATTTCAAACAAGTACTCATTGCAAAATTTAAACAAGTGAGGTGAATACAACAAAGTTTTAGTGTGCATTTTTTCCCTTCATATATAAATTCTGATTTGCTAATTATTTGATTAAATATATTTAATCTTTAATTAATTAGCATATGCACTTCTTGTCCCTTAGGGGGACATCTCATAAATTGATTTATGCAACTTTAATTATTTGCTTATGATCTTCATAAATTTAACGAATGATTAAGTACTAAATCATTTAATTGCTAATATTTCATGTTAAATCTTACTTTTTACTCCATATTAGTCCAACTATCACATATTTTCATTCAATATATATATATATATATATATATATATATATATATATTTTAATTAATTGATTGTTAAATATGCTTAGGTAACTATTATAAGGAACAAGATCAGACTTTATTAATAACTCGAAGCAAAAGTTTAATTATTTTCAATTAACCGCGCTATTCTATTTCTCCTTTTTCACCCGTGGTTCAGTATTTAGGAAATTTCCCAAAACTAAAAGAAACAGAAAGGCGTAAAACCGAAATAAAGGAAGCAAGAAAGGTTTGTCCAGGGATTACAGCAAAATCACACCTCTCGAACACTGAATTTTTCCGATTCTTGTTCTTGGCCGGAGTTGACAGCAGTAAGCTTACGATTCGAAATTCTTTATCCTCCGCTCACTCCATCTGACAATTTGATTTCCCTCTTCAAATTAAGTACAATTTTTATGCTGTCCATTGTGTGTGTTTCTTCCTAATTACTTGTTACGCAGTTCGGCTTCTTGTCTTTTGATTTGAATTTTACTTAAGCATTGAACTGACTCACAACCGCCTTGATAATGCTATATCACTCGGGTTTACTTATCTGGCCTATAGTACCCCTGCATTGTGTTTTCTTGTTCTTCAGTATATTATTAATACTAATAACTAATTCTCATTACTTGAAAATAAATACATTGAACTAATTATGTTTTTTAGGGACTATCTTAGATCTTGTATTGGCTAGACAAAGTTTTACGGTCGGACACAACAGTTTATCAACCCCTTAATACTAAAAAAGTTCATCAAAGCACAATGAAATTTTTTAACACTGAAATATTATCTGTTCGCTAACCAAACACGTCTGGGACTATAATGGGTTTGTTGTTGTTGAAACCAAACACAAGAATATTTTTCAGAAAGTGACTTACTCATTTTCCTGAAGATATTTTCTGACATATTAAACACTAGTTTGATTAGCGGGATTAGGATTATAATCACCTGATAGAATTTGGGATTGTATTTATCCCGTGTTTGTTTTTATGGGTATTAGCTGACACAATGGTGGTATTAACTATCCCACATTAGATGTGGGATAACAATCCTTTGGATATCCCGCTCTGCAACCAAACAACCCCTTAAGGGTTTCATGTTTCTAGTGTGCTAGTGGCCATTGGTTCTTATACTTTTGTAACTACTAAGGTGACGAGCTAGTTGGATTCTACTCCATTGGGGCTCTTAGTTAACTCTTAAACTTCACGGCTCTTCCAAGGAATGGAAACAAACAGTAGAAGGAAACACAGAAACTGGCAGATATATCTTGCATATGACATTGCTCATCCATTGAATACCTGCAAAGCAAATTTATTGGAATTCATAATTCTTCTATCTTACTTCCGAGAGCTTGTTTCAATGGATTGAAAAGCTGTGTCACTTGCTGAGCAGAGATAGGATGACTTTATGAATAAACTTAATTTGATTTTTTCTCCAATGTAGTCACTTCTTTGATTGGACAGGAAACATTAATCTTCTTCTCCCACACTCAGCACAATCAGAGAAGGTCTTCCTGGCTTCTGCATGGATTTTATGGATTTTCTGCACGGATCGGGATAGGATTTCCTGGTGCTTTAATCAGTTGGGAGATGTTTTTCCAAATGAAGTCATCATCTTCAAGGTAAATTACATTCTTATTCAACTTTATTTCAGCGTGATAAAGGAGAATTTTGTTCTGTTTTACTGTTGGAATTGCTGGGATTACACATTTATGTCACAACTTTGATAATCTGGTTTTTGATTTATCAAGACAGTGACTCAAGTACATGATTTTTAGGCATAGCTGAAAGATCACCATGCCTCGTAAGGTAAATTATGGAGTTAATTACGAGGAAGATTTTGATGACTATGAAGATTACGGTTATGACTATGATGATGGGTGTGGTTATGCAGAGGAAGATGGTGAGTACCTCAGCCTTTCTAGAGAGCTTGAGAGATTTCCAATGCTTAAGACCTCGAGGCTGCATAATTCCGTTCCATCTCCCCTCAAGCCCTTAATTAACAAGAATAGCAGAAGGCATTAATCATACTGAGATTACTTTTTGTAATGCTGACTTACCCTTGTCAATGTCATATTTGAATAGAAGTATTTTATTTACTTCCAAACTCATTTCTGCAAGGTAGAAATTCATAGTATTGTCCATTAAACTGCAATGACTTGCTGTATTGTGTTGTTTTTCTCTGAACTGTTACAGCCACCATTAATGTTTTATCATTCCTTTGTTGACTATGTTTCTTGAAGTAGGTTGGTGGAGAACATGTATTGTTCTATGGGGATGCTCTGTACTACTCACTGGGATTCGTAGAAGGATAAAAATACTTAAAAAGTTACTTTAAACTATTTCCAGGCTTTAGATATGATTGCTTAACTTCTTGGAGGACTCTCAAAAAGTTACATCCCCTGCGTCTCAAATTTTGCCTCCCATGCTGGAATATCCCAAAATTTTTGGTACTCTTCTACAGATAATGATATCCTATGCAACTTCCTGACCATTTATATTGAGGTCCTTAATGCGATGTTTTCCTCACAACACTAAGCTCGCAACTAGTACTATAATTTCTTCTATGCTTATTGGTATAACAAATAAATCAGTTTAACCATTAAGTTCTCAGCCAGTTAGACTGTGTTACAAGAGAACACAGGAAATATCAATGAGATTTCTTATTTGCATAGTTAAATGTTTATGGTTGAATACCATGATCTTACGTCCTGGAAATAGTGACACCCTTTAAATGCTAAGAGCACTTTGAAGAAGTCAATATGTGTTTTAATAACTTGCTACAGGTACGCCACCAGAAACAAGGTCAAAACAGGAGTTGGTTAACATTGGGGTTTGGCGTTGTCCCATTTGCACATTTGATAATGAATATACTATGAATGCATGTGATATATGTGGAGTCCTTCGTCATCCATTGGTCAAAAGTTGTGCCGGCAGCAAAGAAGATGCAGGTTAGCAACTCATGAAACTGTCCTCAGTGTCTATATATGTGTGTCTCTGTGAAATTTGTTACTATGCTTAGCACACTTATATACAGCTTTGCTAAGTGTATTTTCCATCTTCATTACAAAATATTTTCTTTTGGGGGCGCCCGTGAGAGGGAACTGTTTGTCTGTTTCCATGGGATTGGTTACAATTCTCCTTGATGTTATTTCATGCTTTCCTTATAGCTAACTTGTCTGTTGGTCTATATATGTTCTCTGTGAAATTTGGTACTACCCTATAGTACACTTGTGAATACTAGCAGTATGGGCCAGGGCATGAGAAAGCATTTTCTTTTTGGGGCTGGGAAGAGGAACTTTTCCTGTGGGTAGTCCTTTGGTCACATTCTGCTTGATGTTATTTCATGGTATATTTATAGCTATTGCTGCACTTGTATGCTGTCTCTATGAAATTTGTCGTTACCATTTAGTAAACATGTGAACTGCTTTGCTTACTTGCTCTATGCACCAAAGCATATTACAGAACATGAGAAACCATTTTCTTTGGAGGCTAGGGAAATGGAAGTATTACATGGGTAGTCCATCTCTTAATGTTATTTCATGCTTTATTTATCTACCTTCTACAGAGCAATTCTTATTTGAAGGTTTTGGGCATTTTCCACACTGTTCTTGGTCTGCCTATTTTAAAGGTTATCAAGGGTCCCTATCTTATATTGACAAAATACCTATTTTTACATCATTATATATAGATTTTATCTGTTTTGCTTGTTGTTTCATGTGTGGTCTGCCTGCTGCTTCATAGAGTAGATGGTTCCCATGCAGTTGGTGGCATATGTAAAGATTCTGGAGCATCTGTAATGGCCAAGTCTCTGTTTGCATCACTGCTGCTTCAGCAACCAAAAAAGGCTGTAAATTTTGAAGCACAGAATTACTCTTTTAAGACCGAAGACTGCTTTAACCTCTACAAGCCTGGAAATATGTGTGGACATTTTCATGATTTACTCAGAGCTTTTTGCTCTCAAAGCCATTGCAAGATTGATATAGGTCTGCACATGCTCCAGCCCAGGATGCCAGTCTATAGACATAAATTGTGCACTTCCTTTTTTTTTCCTCCCCTTTGCTTGAAAAATTGTGTTTGCTACATTATGGTACTTCTATCTCTGTTCGGTATTTGGCCATCTTTGCTTTTAATTCATTTTCTCACATATGCTAATGATGGTGCAGTACCTTTCAAGTTTGACTCCCAGTCTCCAGATGATTCAGTACTGAGTGGAATAATACCATCCAGATTACGTCCCAAAGGTACTGTATTCATGCTTCTGATTCAATTATTTTGCATCCTATTTCCTTAAGGTGTTCTCTTGTTAGGGCAAGAGTGCTTCTAGAATTGGAGTCCGTGGAGTCAATGGTGGAGTTGCACTCGCTTTAGTTAACTGCAAATATAAATTAGAAATTGAAAAGAAAATACCTACAATCAGGGAACTAATGCATCAACCGTTATTCCATTGGCCTAGTTGAAGAAGATGGAGCCTTGATAGAGGGTTCCCTACAAGTGACCTCCTAGTCGAAAAGATCTCTCTCTTTTTTGAGAATTTATGTGAGAGAGCAAAGGTGTCTGGTTGTTCCCTCTGAATTGCAACTGGACAGTGATGTGAATCATGTTTTTTCAATTATTTACTGCTCCTTCCCTCCAGGTTGCACAAAATGCTCCTTATTTTTTTTGTCCACCACTATCTTCTTACTCTTCTCCTTGGAAGATTGAGTAAATACATGGCATTTTAAGTTTTTTCTAGTGGTTTGCCAAATAAACTCAGTATGATTAGCCTAAATTTCTTGTAAACCCAATATAAGTCTTAGAATTCATTTAGATATATCTGTGGAACTGTTAATTTAGTGCTTTTCACGAAACCTTTTTTCCCCTTTTCTTTTCCCTGTCTAACTTAGGTTGGGGTTCACGAATACCCTTTTCTAGGTTTGTATTGAATACTAAGTTGTGTAACTGTTTTCTTATGCATTATATATATACATATACATATATATATATATATATATATATATATATAGTTTGACATCTTTTATTTGCTTTCTTGGTCTCCTTTCAGCTGATACTGACAAGGTCTTACAGTTAAATGTCCCATCAAATAACGAAGAACTAAGTACTGAAGTTAAAAAAGATTTGGCTGCTGAAGGGCATCCAAGCTCAGACACATCATTAGCAAAAGATGATTTGAAGGATAGTGATTCTTCCTCGAAAACTAGGGGAAATGATGGTGTTACAAGCAGCTTGAACGATATGTCTATTTCATCAAAGCCTCACAGTGTGGATACTGGAAAGAGTGACAGTGCAACATCAAGCTCAAAGAATAAGCCTCAGAAAAGTGTACAGCCTCCTCAAATAGAAGATAACTTCAACCAGCTAAATCTTGCAATTGTAAGTCCTTCGTTTACATTTTCTTGATTTAATTTATATTACACTGCTTTTTAGTTGCAAAATTTTCTATATGTAGGTTGGCCATGTGGATTCTGGGAAGTCAACGCTGTCAGGAAGGTTGCTACACCTTTTGGGGCGGATATCCCAGAAAGAAATGCACAAATATGAAAAAGAGGCCAAGCTACAAGTGAATATTCTTCATCCTTTTTGTATGATACTTTCAAATCTTTACAAGTTTATTGACAAGTCTACTGTCTATTTTATCAGGGAAAAGGGTCGTTTGCTTATGCTTGGGCGTTGGATGAGAGTGCTGAAGAAAGAGAGAGGGGGATAACTATGACAGTGGGCGTTGCCTACTTTAACACAAAATGTTACCGTGTTGTTCTGCTTGATTCCCCAGGTCACAGGGACTTTGTCCCAAATATGATATCAGGGGCAACACAAGCAGATGCAGCAATTCTTGTAATTGATGCTTCAGTAGGTGCATTTGAAGCAGGTATTGATGCTACTGGAGGTCAGACGAGGGAGCATGCACAACTTATCAAAAGCTTTGGGGTGGATCAGATTATAATTGCTGTTAACAAAATGGACGCAGTGGGATACTCCAAAGAACGATTTAATGCAATTAAGAAACAATTAGGCACATTTCTCCGTGCTTGTAAGTTTAAAGATTCTTCAGTAGCATGGATTCCCGTAAGTGCCATGGAAAACCAAAATTTGGTGACCGGTCCATCAGAAGCACGGTTGTCATCCTGGTTAGCCTACTAGCCAACATCCTCCTTTTCCTCCCTGTTTTTGTGGTACGGGTGTGTGGGTCTACGAAAGCACAACCTTACTATAGTTAACAAAGAGTTCTAAATAACAAGTAGCTGAAATTTAAAATAGCAAGTGTCTTCCTAGATATAAATAACCTAAAGGTCTAATTTACTTGTTAAGATGAAGATTGTGCAATGAGTTAAATTTTGCTTAGTAATTGTAGTTCTACAATGTATATGGAAGTGAATTCTGGACCTCTAAGATCCAACATAATCCATAAGATGAATCTTGTAGATATACAGATAACAGATGACACATTCAACAAAGAGCACACATAGAGAACAAAATGATAGAATGTCGCCTGAGATTATTCACCATATCCTGCATAGACCTCCATGTGCACCAGTTAGTAGGTCGCGCAAATATGATGATTGAAGATGATGAAAGGGATGAGGCAGACATAAAATGACAAGGGAAATTGTCCTAAAGAACCTACAATCTCTAGAATTAGTGCCGACTTAGCTAAGAAAAGAATACATTGAAAATAATAGATCCATTTAGGCAATACCAACTAGTTGAGGTATTGTGCTTGCATTCATTTTTGGATAATAGTTATATTGTGCTCACATTAGATTTATGTTTTTCAAGAGTGTGTTATTTGGTCAGAGAACTTCATCCCATATATAGATAAGTTTGAGATTTAGAGAACTTCTAATTTTAAGAAGCTCCAATCTGCTTCAGATATTATTTAGTATTCAAATGAAATAGACTTGAATAGAGCGGAATGGAAATGGAGGATTCAATTGTCTGAATCCAATTAATTTGGGATTGAGGTGCATTTGATTGATATTGTCTTATCCAAAAAATTTAGTTGGCTTAACATAAATTAGTTGAGGTACCCTTGTTGCCTTGATTCTTGACAAACTCATGAAGTATGAACATGACTCTCAAAACTTGCAGGTTCCAAGGTCCTTGCCTATTGGATGCAATAGACTCTCTCCAACTTCCTCAAAGAGATTACACGAAGCCATTCTTATTGCCGATTTGTGATGTTGTAAGGGCACAATCTCAGGGACAAGTGTCAATATGCGGTAAGTTGGAGAGGGGAGCTCTTCAAACTGGAAATAAGGTACTGGAGACTACTAAAGAATTCCTTTCTTGTACCCTTTCTTCCTCTATGTAACAGATGCTTTTGGGAGTCATTTCTTACCTAATGGTTTATGTCTGCAAATTTGTTTTGACTTACTTGACAGACTAATATCTATGCATTTAACACCGAGTTGTGAACATGTCCAGGTTTTAGTTATGCCATCGAGAAAAATGGCAGCAGTGCGTTCTTTGGAACGTGATTCTCAGGTTTGTAACAGTGCAAAAGCAGGAGACAGTGTCACTATCAACCTACAAGGTATTGATGCAAATCACGTGATGGCGGGGGGTGTCTTGTGCCACCCTGAATTTCCTGTTCCAGTTGCAAATCATTTGGAACTGAAGGTTCTCATCCTGGACAATTCCATTCCAATTTTAATTGGCTCTCAGGTACCATCCTTTGGTGGATTACTCCAGTGAAAATTTTCAGAGATTTTCCGTCCCATGTCTTATGTATAGCCAATGATTATAGAGATATCTGGAACTATGCAGTTGGAATTTCTTGTACACCATGCTAAGGAGGCTGCAAGAGTTGTGAGGATTTTGTCATTGCTTGATCCGAAGACCGGAAAGGAGACGAAGAAATCACCTCGATGTCTTCTGGCAAAGCAGAATGCTATAATTGAGGTTTTTGACTAAAAAACTATCATACTTTTTTTTTGTATTTCTTTTTCTTTTTCTTTGGATGGGGTGAAGCAGGTAATGTGCTTCTGCCTCCATGTATAAGTTGAAAACCGGCTCATTAGTTTAACAGCAAAAAGATTACTCATCTCGATAGCTTGTTTGTGATAATTTAGGTGGTTTTGCAAGGGATGGTTTGCATCGACGAGCATTCTAATTGTAAAGCTCTCGGAATGGTGTCCCTCAGGTCATCTGGAAGAACCGTTGCTCTTGGTCTGGTGACTAGAATTATAGTGAAGAAGGAATAACGAAACTTCCAATACCAGAATAAGAGCTTGTAAAGTGACGGGTACCTCCTTTTTCTCTCTGGGGCTGGTCAATCTTTACATGTACATTACCTTTATTCTGATAGGATTCCTTTTCTTGTTCTTTAATCGAACTCTAATCTTATTTAGTTTCTTTGTTAATGTATTTATGTATAATTTACTCAAGAAAAGTGTAAACGCACTAGTTGTGAAAGGGACAACTTTGATTCTTTCTAATTAGGTGCACAAGTATGGTATGCGTTTTCGGCAAGTTTTAATATTTGAGAACGTGTATAGCGAATGTATAACTTTGTTTAGTCAGAGGTTGGTAGGTCATTCTATTCCGTTCCACACTCTCTGCACAAGCTTTTTGCGTGCCTTAAATTATAAATTAATTTTTTCCAAAGAGAGAAGTGTTATTTTCAATTCAGAGTATAAAAGAGATTAAAAAAAGTTAAAATAGCACGGGCTAGCCAATTTCCGGATCGGTCATTCAAAAATAGCCCGCGTTTGCAAAGTCATTGAAAAATAGCCACTATTTTGCTGCAACAGGGACCGGTCTAACATAATATATTGGAGATCGGTGTACCTGTGTATGAACTTCCAGCATGTTATGCTGGAACTCCAACACGCGAAAAGTTCCAGCATAATATATTGGAGATTGGAGCACTCTGTAACTCCATTATAATATACTGGAGTTCCAGTATACTTATGCTGGAACTCCAGTATATTATGCTGGAGTGTTTTTTGGATTTTGAACAGTGTTTTTGTTCAGATTTATCTTTACATGAAAAATGGCTAAATTTCGATTGCTTTTGAAACTGTGGCTATTTTTGAATGACCACTTGTTAATCTAGTTATTTTTGAATTTCTCCCTTAGAAAAAAGGATATTGATGGTCCTTCTAGTCTCTTGAATCCCATAGGAAGAAAGCCCATTACTAGTAATTTAAGTGAACTGCTGACTTATATCGATTCCAATTTTGGTTAATATAATTTGGTGCACTTTTATTTAGTAATTTACTAGTTCCGTATTTCGCCAGATAATAACCCATTTGTTTGGGCAGTTTTGGGACCAAGAGAGTTGAATACATTTGGTAAATGAGATGCCTTCTTCAGACCAAAAGGAAAGTTTTATTTGTTCGAACGTCTTTTGTTTATTTTTGTCGTTTGCTAACGACAACTTTAAAAATAAATAAATGAAAACAACTAAAGTAGCACCAAATAAAGTCCAACCTGGAATTCTGGAGTAACGGTAAAGTTATTTTCGAGTGACTTATAGTATACAAATTCGAACCGTGAAAATAACCATTAATGCTTGTATTAGGATAGACTGTTTACATCATATCCCAAGGGATGCGATTCTTCTCTGGATCCTGTATGAATATTACGGAATACTTTATGCAATGAGCTGTACTTTAAATTAAATTAGCACAAAAGAGTCCATACCGACGAGTGCTCTCACCTCTGCAAAATTTCAGGTCAAATGGTTTAAAATGATGCAACTAAAAGTAAACAAACCCCAAAAACTGCTAAAGTATATTCCCTAATTTAAAATAAAAGTAATCAGCAACCAATTTGGAAAATCTCATCCATTAAAAAGCTTTTTTGTTCCTCGTCCACACATATTTCTGCACTCGTCTTTTTTCATGACATAATACTTTTCTGATTTTGTGGGTATAATCTGACGGCCTGCTATAAAACGACAAAATCAGCCCTCCTTTTTAACCTTTAAACGACATTATTTCAAACAAAGTAAATCCAACGTGGCTATGAGGGTGTTTGGCTAAGCTTATAAGCGGGTCAAATTAATTTATAAGTACTTTTTGGCTTATTTACGCGTTTGGTAAAATTAAAAGTGTTTATAAGTTAAGTGCATATAAGCTAAAAATAAACCAAAAGTCATAAGTTGGTCTCTCCCAACTTATTAAATTTCAGCTTATAAGGAGTTTAAGTTTGACTAAAATATTTACTATTTTATTCCTAAAAATTTTATTTTAAAACAAAACTCTTCGTATACCCAGTTCTTCAGCTGCATATTATTAATTTCTGCACTTTTATTCAAACACATAACTGCTTATTTTTTTAAATCAGTTTCAGCAGTTAAAAGTACTTTTCAGCACCTAATGCTTATGAGCTACTCTAAATCAGCTAAGCCAAACGGGCTCTATATCTTTCGCCACGTGGATCCGGGTCAACTCGTCTGAAAAGTACTCCACCAGTTCTCATCCACAACTAGGAATCCTTCCTTTCACCGTCGAACCAAATCTCCATCTAATTCCATTACACCTACTATTATTTATCATAAATAATTAATGTAATCTCCATCTAATTCTATTCTTATTTATGTGTACAAATATTTATAGTAAGTAATTAACTACGTATACAGATAAACAAAAATTAACTACGTATATATATGCACATATAGTCAAGCATGTAGAGATTTCTGGAAAAGGATGCAAATTTCTTCCATAGTAGAAAACAACTTGCAACAGAATCTCTGAATTCACACAGAAAGAGAAGAGAGAAAATTTAGTGTGTGTATGTGTGATTTGTTGCTTTTTTTTTTCTTTCTGCGGAGGACCATAAGGATAAAAAGAGAAAGCAGAAAGAGTCATTTTTTTGCACATTTAGACGTAGAGAGACAGAGAACTGTTGAGAATTTTGAAGAAATTAGGGTTAGGAACTGTGGAGAATGGCGGCTCAGGGAAGAGAAGGAGGTGGAGGAGTAGCGGTTTTATGTGGTGGTGCAGTCAATGCTGTGGATTCTTCTACGTCCGCTTCCAGCGGAGTTTTGGACAAGGAGAGTACAAAGCAGGATTCTCCTATTCTGTTTTTTCTCTTCTTTCACAAGGCAATTCGGCTGGAGCTTGACGCACTTCACCGTTCGGCTTTAGCGTATGCTACGGGACAATTGGCCGACATACAGCCGTTGCTCAAGCGTTACCGTTTTCTTAGATCAGTTTACAAGCACCATTCCCATGCTGAGGATGAGGTCCGACTTTAACATCTCTATTTTTTTGTCTGTTCCACTAGCATTTAATTTTTTTCGCTGCTCAAACGTAGTTGTAGCCTGTGACATCGTCTCTTATGTATACGGAATTGCTATTGAGTCATTCTATTAAGTTCCTTGCTAGTTGTTAATCTCTTTTCATTTTCCGATGGTGTGCTTCTGTTGAATCTTTAGAGAGCTTCATGTTACTTGTTGCCCTGCTCTATGCGTCTCCCTATGACTAGTGATTTGGTTACATGTTTGTATATTACTGTCTATTCTGTTTTCTATTTGGCAAACACTATCATCTTAATGTAATCAATACTTCTCACTCCGTTTCCCGAATGAAATGTTTAGATATGAGATGATTTTAATTCTTGGCACTTCTTATGACGGTCTTAGCTGCAGTTTGAGCAATCTGATTATAGCTAATGCTAAGTATGTTATACCTTGTTTCATGAGCAAAAGAATCTTCAACAAGCCCAACAGACTGTTAAAGCAATCCCTTTATCAGGCCAATATGGCAATTAGAATATAAATTCCATACTTCTTCTACTGAAAATTAAGGGTTGACATCTTGTTGAGATAGATTCACCTGGTTTATATGTTGGATGCCATGATGGTTCTAATGGTTAAAATAGTGGACCTTGGTGCTAGTTATTGCCAATTTTGTGGACGTCTTGTACTTCCATTTGGTAGTCTGTTTGATTTTTTTTTTTTTTAAAAAAAGATTAAGCAATATTGGCTTGGTATATTTGAGGTTAATGTCAAAGTCCTGTTTAGATATGTAGATTCCATCTATATGACACTCACCCCATACTGTTTAATTTCCAAAGTATTTGTCTGGTCATTTGTAGTCTTTGTTTAATATGGCTTGTACATTCTAAAAGAAGTTGGGGAAGTTATGGAAAATTGGAGGGAAGAGAGAATAGAGACTAGGAAGGACGCGATTTTGGAAGACAACACTCTTTGTGCATTTTGGGTCATTTGGCAAGAAAGAAACTGAAGACTTTTGAACGAGGAGGAAGACCAACATAAAAAATTGAACGAGGTCTTTTGTTTCGACTGTACTTCTGGAGTTAATGTTCCATTTTCTATAGACAGTTGGGTGATTTTCTGGATACTTAATGGCATACTTCTTCGTAAATTTGACATCAACTTCATGTAACATGTGACGAAAATCATTCTAGATTATAAAAAAAGATTACCGTGGATGATTGAATTTCTTTTGTCATGCCTCATAAGCTGTTGAAACTTTAGTTTTCATAATATTGCAGTTGACATGTTTCTTAGTTTCATAGTTTGTCTACTTTTATAAATGTCTCCTCGTGTGTGCCTTTGCTACAAATGATAGCATGATTATAACAATTGCAGGTGATCTTTCCAGCTCTTGATATACGCGTGAAGAATGTAGCACAAACATACTCCTTAGAGCATAAAGGTGAAAGTGATCTTTTCGACCACCTTTTTGAGCTCTTAAATTCTGAGAAGCATAACTATGAAAGTTTTCCACGAGAGCTGGCATCTTGTACTGGGGCATTGCAAACCTCTGTTTGTCAGCACATGTCGAAAGAGGAAGAACAGGTATTCTCCTAGGAAACATTGCTTAAGTTTCATGTTTAAGGATTCCACAACTTTCATGGACCATTTCTATCTTTCATGGACCATCTCTGTTGTCAGTTGTTACACCTGCTATTTGTTCCAAAATCAGAAACTATATTTGTTTTCCTGTGAGTGATGTTACAGTATATTTACTCCTCTCCTAGTATGCAATTTCTTCCATGTCCTAATCTGTATTAGCCGCGAGATGACTTGAGCGGAGAAGCAATCTTAGTTATCAGAATTCTACCATAAAGAAGGCAAATCCCAACTTGTGTAGCCTTCGGAGGTGTGATGGCTTGTCTTGTGCTGGTGTTTTGGACACCTGACCGGTTTCAGCAGTAGTTTAATAGGGTTGGTCACCTAAATTTTGAATCAATTAGTGGATCATCAGCACAAGGGCACAACTCATTTTCAAAATGAGTTGGAATTGGGGCAACCCATGCGTAACCTACACCAATTCTGTACTCCTTTTATTGTTGGTTTCCCCCCTCAGTCTTAAAAGTAAGTTGAGGTGAAAAAGATCTCCTTAATATTCCATATGGTACAAATTTGGTACTCCAAGTCTCCATTTTGACCGGCGAAGATGAAGAACGAGACAGACAAACAAAAGGGTGGAGTACCTATTTTTTGTCATAGTTGCCTGATATTTGTTGAGGTTTCAAATAGATCTCCTGCTGTTGACTTTTCG